AATATTTCTTTTTTAAACAGTGCATTGTTGGGAAATAATTGGTGAATCACTTTGTTGCAAAAAAAATTTGTTAAGATGATGTACATAAGAGTACAAAATAAAAAAAATTACATTAGGAACTATTTAACATTACTTGAAACTAAATTTTTTTTTAACGCTTTTTTTTTGAAACGACGTAAAATGGATAAAATAATTTATCTTAGCCCAACACTCATTACTCACTCAACAAAGATTTCAAAACACATACATATTTTTCTAAAAATTTATGTTTTATACATGGGGTATATTGAAGATAATAAAAAGAGATAAAAACTGTGGATAAAAAAATTCATTGTAAAAGTTCATATCATTTAAAGGGGAATGAAATTATTAGTTACTTTTTTGAATTAATTATAAACAAAAAAAATGAGAAGTCGATTTATGTAGCTATTTAAAATTAACAAGCATAAGTTTTAAAAATAATATGAATGTAGCTTTAAATATTTTTCCAAGCTTATTATTTCCATAATAGTTACAATTTTTTTTGTGTAAATTAAAACACTGACGTTTTATAAGAAATTAATCAGATTCTTATAGATAACTTTTTATGTTAAGATATTGTTGATAAAAAGTAATAGATCTAAAAAAAAAAACAAATTTATGCCCTTTTTGTTAAAAAAAAAAAAAATTTTCCCGATCTAATAAAAAAAACTGTTTAAAAAATTTTCAAAACCAGTTTAAAAAAATTATTTTAGGTGATTTCATCAGTCCTATCATCATAAACTAAATACTATGTTAGTGAAAATTAGCGTACTGATTGTCGCTGTTGAGCGTCCACACCTGAACAATTTCAACTTAAAACATTTTTTTCTGAAAGCAATTATACACTTTTCAGGATATTTGACAAAGTCCAAAAAAAAGCGAAGAAGAAAAAACAATTTGGTAATAAAAAAATCACTTTTCCCGATCTCACCAAAAGTAAAGACTTACGGACGTTCTTCTTTGTATTGTTTTCTTATGATTTCAAGCCCAAATTCACTAATTTACTTGTTGGGCGCTCAAGTTCGGGCAACGAAATGCTCCTTAAATTTTATTAGTACAACAAATGTTCGAGTCCGGTAGTTGAAAAAAATCAAAACCAACCAAAACTAAATTTTGACACTTCCAGAAACCCTCGTCTTCTCAGCGTGGCTGGACCAAAAATCTCGCAGCACATTTTTCCAATTAAACGCGGCTTTTCTGATCGCGTGTGAATTGGCCTTTCTCCTTACACCACAACGGAAGGGAAATCCAATACTCCTTGTACCCTGTGAGCGCGGTAAGAAGATAGTCGCTGTGCTTTTCTCCCTTCCGGTATAAAGTGACACTTTTTTTCTACTGCAGCGTTATGCATCTGAATGACACCACGGATGAAGGAAAAAAAAAGAAAAAGAAAACATCAGATTCGTTTTTTAAAACAACATTTGTTGCAGAAAGAGTATATACACTGAGAGAACCATTCCACACAGTAAATCGAACGCAAGATGGCAAAAAAGGAAAAAGTTATTATTTTTTACAGTAAAAATTCCTATGCGGAAAAGTAAAATTTACCAACCGATCCTTTTAAGGTTTACTGTTCCAGCATGAAAAAATTTTTACTATTCAAACTACAACCTTAACTGTTAAATCAATAATATTTACTGTTAAAATTAACAATTTTTTTCCATTTTTGCCAGCTTCCATTCGATTATTACTGGAATTTCTCTATAATTTTTATTATTTTTTTCTCTCAGTGTACTTGAAAAATCAAAATAATTTCGTTCCCTTTGGGGATTTCTCCGCAAAATCCACACAACTTCAAAGGACTTTTCGATACCAACATCACGCGTGGATACACATGTTTCCACCTTACGCTCCGGGTATCGGATATCAGGCGCACATTGAATTTTTTTTCTTTTCTTTTTTTTTTTTTTTTTTTTTTTTTTTTTTTTTTTTTTTTTTTTTTTTTTTTTTTTTTTTTTTTTTTTTTTTTTCAGGAGGATACACACGCGTTTTCAATACGAAAATTTCCGTTCCGCTCGCTTAAAATAAAAATTCCGGGAAAAGATCAAAGACCCGCCTCATCTCGAGCGCAAAAATCGCAAGTTCTGTTTTTCGCGTCCTCCTTTGTTTTTGCGTCTAGTCCACGCGAACGCGTTCAAAGTTCATTTTAACCCTTTTTTTTTTTCCCCCTCGTTATTTAACGATCACACGTGCCACTAGCCGATTTTAACGAGCCATAAAATTAAACCTCATTGTACGTAGGTGCTAAGCCCAAAAATCAAATGCCGGCCGCCCATTGATATTATGTCGGATTCAAAATACGTGTTCTGGTACATTGGAAAATTTCTCATAGGGTTGACGGGCATGGTGATGATTTACTACAACTATTTTCGCGATCGGTAAGTCTTGGGTGTTGTATTTTGTTTTTAGTGATGCTCTGAATGAAAAAAAAAAAAAAAGGGAAAACCCAAAAGATACAACAACCACGTGGTTTTCAGAAACGCCAACTGCGTCTGTGCCAGTGCAAAGAGCGAGTAGTGAGTATCGTTGGCCGGACGGTAATCTGACTATTTTTCGATTGAATGGCTAAACTCCGTCACGGCCGATCCACTTGTTTGCTTTTAAAAAAAATGTAAAAAAGTAATGTGAAGCACTTTGTTCTTTCCAGCCTCCTGTGCGAGTGCAGCAAAGGGTAAATTAACCTACTGAAAATAAAAAATTACATGATTACTTTACCGATTCACGAATCGACTTCCTTTCATCCCAGATGCCAACAGGAAGGAGACTCCAGAACAGAATCGTGTCCACCCGAGGAAAGAGCAGAGTACGTACATATATTGAGATTTTGTTTTTTTCATTCGATGGTCCACCTTGGATAGGTTTATTTAATTTACTTATTCCAAGGCAAGCCAGTTATCAGGTTTTTTCAACGATTGCGAAACGATTTCATTTTCTACCCGAAAATTAAGCAAATATTTACTTCTTAAAAAGATATATATATATATATTTTTTACTTTGCGGTCCTTTGAACTCATTAAACGTAATTTGGGTACATTGTAAATCAAAATGCGTAGCACTACACACTTTAAACGCCTTGTTTTAACGCATTTAAGGTGCACAACAGGAGTTGCGCACTTGAAACGTATTAAAGTAAAAAGTGTCACAGAATTTACAGTCAAGTGGATTGAAATCATGCACTTGGATTTGCAGTGTATTCAAAATTATTTCTAATAAAACATAGCGAAAAATGTCAGGGTCATTTTACGTACTACTACATAAAATGGCACTACTTTCTCAAATTATACGTTTGCACTTTGAGTTGGTTGTTTCGTCCAACAAGGAAAAAAAAAAAAAAAACAAAAAAAGAAAAAAACAAAAACGAAAACCCTTTAACTTTACTCTAAAAGGCAAGCACCGGGAGAGTGAGATTCGAGGCGCAACGACCTGGCACGGCGTCCTCGGCAGGATCGTCGCGAACCTCGAGCAGGTCAGTAGAAGCCCGCAGATTTTCGAAGGGGGCGATAAAAAAATCCCACTACACCCGAAAAGTGCCACACTACCAGTCGATTGGAGGCCGATTGCAAGGCGCTTCGACGCCCAGCGACGCCCCCGGTCCAGGAACGACCGACGCCGCGTCGACGGACACCAGCGCCTGCGTTTCGAGCTTCGATTACAGCGCCGACGCGGAGAGCTCGGGCGTCGAAACGATCGAGGACTTGGAGGCCGATTTCCAAGAGATGCTCAGGACCCTCGGCAGGCTGGACCGGTCGATGCGCGAAGGAGTGAGTGTCCTTCACACGCTGACTCTTCCTTCCTTGGATGTGATTTTTCTACTTTCATCGTAGGTCGGTATTGTGCGGAAGGTGAGAAATCGGCGATCGAAACTTGGTAGAGCCCCCAAACCATGGAACCACGTGCGTAAAAGAATCTCGTATTGTCCCCCAAGAAATCGTCATCACAATCAATTGTTGTTTTTCAGCGGATCAACCACGACGACAGGACACTCGAGTGCGACGTCGGAGAAGACTCGCCGAGGAGGATAAATCGGCCCCGATACTTGTGAACAGAGAAAAAAAAAAAATAAATAAAAAATGGTTTCTCCCATCAGTGCACAAATAGTTACTCCCGAAAATGTTTATTACCCCGTGGACTGTGTTAACGAGGTGCGAAACACTCGTTAAATTGTCACTGTTTCGAAAGCTAGGGAGAGAAGCGAAAGTCAATTAATGTACACACATCCCGGCTTGACGCGTCTATAAGTAGATCCTCTCTCTTGGAGGCGCACGCGGGGGAGGTGTACTTAATAATAGTTTCCGATTTCGAACCAGAAAACAGTCAACAACAGTACTCGTCCTCGGGTGGGGGGTGTGATTCAATCGAATGGGTTTTATTTTCTTTTTTTTTTTTTTCACTGAAATGCAAGTGGTCAATTACACGATGAGTATATGTTATTCCCACTCTCGCGTGCCAAGAAACGAGCAAACTGGCCGCGGGTGTCTGTCAGTCACTTCCTCTGAGGCGCAAAAGTGACCCGTATACCGCTGATCTATTTCTATATAAAGTTGCGTCGGTTGATTATTTTTCCGGCCCGTCGCTCGATTACACTGTGCTCTCTTAAGAGGCCCCCGGGGTTACATCTACACGTCTTTTTGCTGGGGGATTCCTGACGCTTTGTTTTTCGAGTGTCGCGCGCACCGGAAGATATATTGTGAGAGAAAACACGAGAGTGTGGGCTATCGTTGTCGCTCGGGGGAGGGGGGGGGGGGCTTCCACTCGTGTGTTGTTTTGTTTCTTCGGAAGTCGACACGGGGGATGATTAAAGAGATGCCCTCGGATTGTAAAAATATTGGTTTTATTTTACGTACATGTTTCGCGGTTCCAAGTACATGGTCCCAATGTCTCGAATAACTGGGGTAAAAATATTGCCAGAAACGAAACATAAACGGGCCGATAATTCATTCAAACTTCATTAGAAAAAACAAAGTAAAATAATGCATAAACTACGCGACGTAGTCGTCGACGGGTATTAATTTTCGGTTGTCGAAGCAGTCGCCGATCCACCGGCTGTTTACGATTCTAATTGACTTTTCGCCGCTCGCGCTCTCCAGTTCTTTTATGTACTCCTGCAGAATGTCGGTGGAGTCGATGTTGTCGACGAATATGTAATTCGCACTCGAGCTCAGTACTTGCAGGGTTTGGCCGCTCATGAATGCAAAGGAGTACTTTTGGGGATCGCCTTCGTTAACGAAGTAGCCCACGATTCCTCGGAATATCGAAAAAGGCGAGACTCCGCCGGTTTCGTACAGTAGACCTTCGACTTTTTTCATGTCCACTATTGAAAAATCGGTAGTTTTCTTCAACTGCAACGTGAAATAACCATTTAGACATGATCAAATTAATGGTGAAAACTAGAAAAAAAAAAAAAAAACCCATTTACCTTCTGTTCGACTATTTTCATGGACCTCTTGAAGCTTTCCAAATCCGCGTCCTCGTAGTAGCTGTCCATAAACTCGTCGTACGTTTCATCGAGTTTCTTTTTCGTTTTGGGACTGGCTGCATACAACTCCCACGGACGAAATTCGGCGATTTTCGGCAGATTTTCCTGCAGAGTGGCTCTTCTTAGCCAATCTATACTAGCCACGTCGTACTTTTCTCGGCTGATCAAATTTCTCGCTTTCAGCTGAAATCATTCGCATTTTCGGACAAATCGGTAATCGCACTTGCACAACAACGTCAGCCCTTACCACATCGGGATTTCCAACCAGCACGCAATAGGTCTCGTCCCCGGGGTTCGCCACCACCTTGCCCATGTGCTCCAGCAAAACCTTCTCCACGTCGTTCTTCTTCAACTTCGAGTCCCCATTGATCACGCAAAATTCCCTGCCCTCGAATAGTCGCGATAGGCGCACCACGTCGTCGTTACTCTTCGAGGGCACAAAATTATCGTAAACCTTGGACGTGGCAGGCGCCGCCTTGCGAACCTTTGGTTGCTTCTCCTCACCCGCGTCGTCGATATCGCTGGCGGTGACTTTCCGTTTGGTCAGTTTTTGAATAGCTCCAACGTCCTTCAGATACGGAGAAACCTTAATTGATGTAAACGAAATAATAATAAATGCCGACGTACCTTGACGAGTCTTGAAAATTCCGTGGTCGAACACGCATCGTACCACGGTTTGTCCAGTCTAACTTTCAGGACTCTTGGAAACCTCATGGTGTAGCCGAACGGGTACTGCTGCGACTTTGTGATTTCAGTCGCGCGCAGTTGCAAGATTATCGATTCTTTCGGCGAAATCCACATATCGGGCTGTTGGGACTGTAAAAGTAAAAAGATAGAACGATGCTCGAAAAATGTTCCTACCTTCGACTACCTTGGGTCCAAACACCCCGTGCGGCTTCTTGTCTTTCCAGTGTGTCTTGAGCCTCTGCTGTATGACCTTTAGGTTTTCGCCGCTCAGTCCAGACTTTACCGTGACAATCGCGTGAAATTCCGAGGGCATGCCGCTTCGGTTCGTCGCTGGACTCGCCAAGCCCATCAAGAAGACGCTGATCTGTCCACTGCACCGACCCTGGCCGTAGTACCCGCCCAGGATTATCAGGTCCAAGTCTTGCACCAATCCATCGGAGTACTGAAAAATCGGCAAATTTTTTCTCATGCAGCAAACAAACCGGCGCATCAAACAAGGAATCGACGTACCTCGGCCTTGATTTTGTAGCACCCGCTCTTCTCGCGCACGTTTGGCTTGTACGTGCAGTCGCGTGTTTTCACCACGATACCCTCGTCGTCGTTATCCAGCGCCACGTTGAATATTTCAGTCAGTTGTTCCCTGAAAACAAACACCACATCGGTACACTTCGAGATTCCTCTCTCTCTTATTTAGGAAAAAAAAAAGAAGCAGCTCTTACACCGATGAAACGGTATTCGTTTGACAGAGCATCAGCACCCCCTCCTTCTCGGTGAAAGAGTTTTTCAAGACGGCCAATCGTTCCGAGTACGGTTTGTTGACCAACCGCTCGTCATTGTACAAAAGAACATCGTAAGCCACAAAACACGGCTGATGGCAGCTGTTGTCCGTGATTTTTTTCACGTCGAAGCTCAATCCTTTGCTACCGAAGCACATCCTCTCCTTGTGCCAGCCCATCAGCTCGCCGTCCAGTATGACGGATCGGCACTCCTTGTTTAGCAGCGGTGCCACGCTCGACGTCAAAAACCCCCTCGACTCCGGGGTTTCCCCGTAACTCGGGTTGCTGGTGATGTCGAAGCCCTGGCGCGTAAAGTACTTGAACCTCCCGTCCTTCATGTGCATCTGCGACCTCTCGCCGTCGAATTTCGTCTGCACGTAATACTGCCGCTCGAGCTCACGGCTGAACAGCTTGCCGATCCGTTCGATGCGAAACCGCTCGAGCAGCATCGGTTTCACGTGCGAGAACACCTCGATCTCGATCGCCGAGTCCCCCGAACGCGCGTCCGCAAAGTGCTTGCACACCTCGTACAGGCTCGACGTCACGTTGAACTTGTCCTCGGCGTCGGGGTGTATTGCTGCAATCAAGGACATCAGACACGGGATTTTCATCACCAAGTTCGTTGGGGTACGAAACAAGGTCGATCGGTTACCTTCGAACACCCTCTTCTGGGGTATGCCGAGTTTAAGGTCCTTCAACAGCATCCTCGTCAACCACTTGAGCTCCAGGGCGCTGATGTTGCGCGTAAAGTGCACAAAGAGCTCGTCCTTGCTCTGGCTCGTGCTGTGATGGGTGGCCACGTCGTCGAGGAACTTGTTCACCTGCTCGATCGTCAGCGAGCTCTGCTCGTTCGGCAAACGACGCTTCATAACCCAGAAAGTCCTCTCGGCCAGGTCGTCGTATTTACTCGTCGTTGCTCCGGCTATTGGTTTTCTAAAAAACACACGAGCGATCAATCGCGTTCACAGAGCCAATTAGCGATGGCTTACTTGTAGCTGGTGAGTTTTTCCGCGTTGGCGCTGTTCTTCCCCAAACAGAACACTCGGACGTAGAGCTGTGACAGGTGGGTGCTCTTCAAGCCGTAGGGACCCCTCTCGCGCTCCATGCTTGGCAGCAGGAGCCTGTAGACGGGGAAGAGGGACGTATCCTGGAACGCAAAGTTTGGGATTACATTTTGCTTGAGCCAAGAAAATAATGTATATACAAAAAAAAAAAAAAAAAAAAACTTACAGCTTCGGCATTGTTGGCTTTTATCTTGGTTGCGAGTTCTCGGCACTTTCTCGTGTACGATTTCAGGGCCTCGAATTTCTGCTGGCCCTTGAGGGTCGTCAGTTTTTCCAAAAATTCGCACAGATCCGTGAACTTGATTTCAGAATCCAGCGTCGAAGTCATGCTCTGAAAAATGCGAGTTTACACTTTGTTAACCACTCGGTGAATCGTACACGGGGTATACCGGACAAAAGGGGTTAGTTGAAGAAAAAAAGAAAGACGATGAAATAACGACAAAATAATTTATTCACTTTTCGTTCGCTCACCATTACAAAAAGAAAAACATCACTGACAATCACATTTGACGTATATTTACACGCGCGTATGTACAGTCTTATAATAACCGGTAAATCAAACGACGATGTAATCTTCTATGTACATCCTGGCCAGGTCCTGGTTGCCGGACTGCAAGTAGATAAGATGCAGATTGAAGGCAGCCTCTCTCTTGAGATCCAGCAGAGTTTCGTTCTGCCTCACGAGCTCGGGCTGCGGCGACTCGAGCACTTTTTTGTAAAATTTCATAGCCGCGGGTAGGAGACCCAGCTGGTGGAAGACTCGGGCCATGTTGTAATCGGACTCCTGCTGGCCTTGCTCTTCCCGCAGAGTCGCGTACGTATTCATAAAGGCCAGGGCTGTAAATGAAAAAAAAAGAAAGAAAGTTACTCAAGCCTGCCCACTTGGCACCCTTGAAAGCCGTACCTTGGGCGACAAGCTGGTTCTTCTTGGAGGAGAACTTCTGGCAGGCCATCTGGAGCAGGGTGACGGATATGAGGAGCGCGAGCAACGGGTTCGGCCTGACTTTGAACAGCGCGATGTAATCGTTGAGGGCGTACTTGTACGTCCCGGAGACGAGGCAATTGTTGGCGTGGAGTATGTGCAGGCACGAGAAGACGTTCTCGTTGCTCAGCTGTCGCATGATGAACCTGCTGTGTCGCGAGTCCGTGACTTTTTGTATGATGATGTTGAGCAGGTTCCAGGGCACGACGCTGCGGCTGTTGCTCTTGACGAACTCGCGCACGACGTTGAAGCCGGAAAAGGTGTCGTTGTTCCTGATACACGAGATCAAGCACATGTAGAGCAGGTGCCCGTTGCGCCCGATAAAGCGCCGCGAGGTCAACGCGGTGAAGCACATTCGTTGCAGCAATCCGTACTTTTTCATGGCGCAGGCCCGATCGCACATGCGGAGGAGCAGCCCGAACTCGTCCTCCTCGCTGGGCTCGTTGTTCATCGAGAAGGTAGGGCTGTCTTCGTCCAGGAGGGGCTCGCCCCGGGATAGCCGTGTCCGTTGGATGATGTCGACCCGTTGCTTGAAGGCCGCGGTGCGGCTCAGGGCGGTGAGCTCCTGTTTCGAGCGCAGGGCTATCGTGTGCCTGGACAGGAGCAGCATGCCCGACTCAAAGTACTCCTTGTGCCTGTCGCACTTGCTCAGTAGGAGGGTGCGCTTGTACACGAGGCCGGGGTCGAGGACGTCCGTTTCCGGATCCAGACGAAGGACGTCGATCGCTTGGTTGAGCTCGCCCTCGAGGTCGTACAGCTCGGCGAGTTGCATACGGGCGCCCAGGTGCTGGGGCGAGAGCCTGAGCACCATCTCGTACGACTGGATGGCCTTGCGGGAGTCGCCGCAGCCGTGCCAGCACTCGGCGTGCCTCAGCCAGACGGCCGCGAGGCTGTAGTTTTGGCTGGCGACGAGGGGCTCGAGGAGACCGAGGGCCCGCTCGAAGCACCGCTTGCCCATGTAAGCCTCGGCTATGTCGAGAAAGAGATCGCCCGAGAGCTCGATGCTCTCGAGGGCCTGGAAACGGGGGACCAGCTCCTCGGCTATGGCTATCTGGTCGAGCTCGATCATCGAGATGATGCACTTGGCTTTTATATCGACGGCCAGATCGTCGGGCACGCTACACCCGATCACATGAACCATTTTCTCGTTGTTTGGGCCCTTCTGTTCATTCTCGGCGTACTCGATGCTGATGGGCGTAAAGTCCGTGAGTATCCTGAGGCAACGGTTGTACTGCTTCACAGCTATCAGCAGGTCCATCATGAGGTTGACCATCTCGGGGGTAATCATGTGACGCGGGCACTTTCTGAACATGTTGTCCATACCGTCGAGCGCCGCCTCGTACAAATTCTCCTGCATACAGCGTTCGAGGAGCTTTTTGGCGTATTTGACGATGTTTTCGCCATCATTGGGCCCGAGGTGATTGAGTAGTCTCGAGTAGGCGCGGATGTAGGCCTTACGGTCGCCGAACTTGTCCTGCAGCTCGGCTCGCGTCTCGTACAGCTCGATGTTCTTGGGACTGGCTTGTATGGCTTTTGAGTAACACGTGAGGGCCTGGCGTAGGTCGTCGGCCTCTAACGACGCGACCGCTAGACGCACCCACTGTTCCGCGTCCCGGGGACTCAGGTACGCTGCTATTAGGGCGCATTGCATGGACTTTTGCGGCTGGTCGGCCTCGTAGATCGTCGCGAGCAGCTGGTACGGTTCGGGCGCGTTTCGTTCTTGCCTGTTGGAAGACAGAGAAAAAACATTAGTTGAATATCAATTGGATGACATTGGAAAGGGGCACGATACAAACCTTATGATTTCTTTGCACATGTCTATGGCTGTTGATATTTCCCCCCTGGCGTATCTTATGTTAGCCTCCCCCATGAGACCCTCCAGTGCTCGAGATATTTTTTTAAATCTTCTGGATCGTCCTTTGGCAGGCTTTTGAGGGTTGTTTTCATCAACCTGTGTGCTGACTTCTGGAGTTGCTTCAGTTTCCGCAGCACCACTATCACTGCAACATAAGAAGGCCAAAAATAATATGTTTGACAAATGGTGGATGAAACGTGCGAATTCCTGCACTTACCTGACAACAGCTTCCTCGTGTTCACTATCGGCAACTCTTTCCATTCTGTCGGTGAATTCAGAGAAGGTCAGTTCACCGTCTAAAAATTGCCTGGTCAGCATATTTTCTTCCTCCGCCAAGGGCATATTTTGCTCTTCCACGTCAGATGCAACCTCTTCAAGCTGGCTGCCCGCCACATACTTGACACATATTTTCTGCGGTATCTGATCGAATCTTATGGCCTCGGTCTGGACAAATTCACCCATTTCAAACTGATTGAGTGGCATTGTGTCCAGAACCTCGATCTCCACAGGGGCCAGCATCGACGTCGTACCGTCCACGACAAATGGCATGCTCTCCATTTCTGTGTACTGATTGTCGGGCTCTACTTTGGCTTGGATTCTGTCTTCCATGGCTGGTGCAGGGTTTGGATAACTGACACTTCTCCGATCGAGTTTGCACGTAAACACACTTATAGCCACAACGAATACACTGTCCCAAATAATGAGGAAAAAAAAAAAATTTCGTCAGTACGACCAACCCGGGCAAATGGCAGATAAAAAAATATGGATAGGTGACGTAGACGAAAAAAAAATTTCCACATCCAACTAACGTGCAAACTGAGGACTGTTTTCCATCGTTGCAAGGGAATGTAACCACAAATGGTTGTGTCAAAGGGAGACGAAATAAAAAAAACTGTCGATGACAAGCGAATTGTTTTAATTCAGTCATGCAACAAGTGTAAAGTAGAGAGGACTTTAAACAAAAAATAAATACTTTGGTTTTTAAAGGTTAAACCAAGAAGTTACCTTTTATTTTACTCGACAGGGTTTATACACAAATGCAGCGTTGTCACAATATTCTCATACGATGAAAGAATGTCGGTTGACTTTTAGTTAGGACTTGCATCGACACTTTCGATGAATAAACCATTTCCTTTTAACAATTAAAACTCTGTTACATCGGATATAAACATGCACCGACAGGCACGACGATACATGCAGTTATTATTCTCTTCTGCTCCAAAATATATATATATATATGCACTTTGACCTAACCTCTTTTAGGATCAATCATCGCTCGTCAAGTTAAACGCGGGAAAATTCAAATTCAATAAATTCATCCATTGAATTTCCATTGTAAGAAAAGGTAGGATTGACCACTGACGTAGAACATATAATAAATAAGTATTATATTACAGTTATGTATATCAGTAAAAAAATTTGTAGTAAACTATAGTTAATTATTAATACAAACTATTTGGTTAAATTCTTTTTCAACCACAACGCAGGAAGTCGTTGAAAAAATATATTTATAGCTACGATTCCATTTTTTTTTTTTTTTTTTTTTTTTTTTTTTTTTTTTTTTTTNTAGCTTAAAGTCATTAAAAAAGACTTCAAGTCATTAAAAAAGACTTAAAGTCATTAAAAAAGACTTGATTTTAAGACTTTCAGAAACTTCAAAAATCTCCAAAAGACTTAAGACTTTTTACCGGGACTTCAAGAGTGTATATAGCTTAAAGTCATTAAAAAAGACTTAGGGACTGCGAAAAAGCAACTTTGTTCGAACATTTCAAGTTCGTAATATTTAAGTCTTTTTAACCGACAATCTTTAAAATTGAAATTTTGTTTTTACAAGTAACTAATTATTAATACAAACTATTTGGTTAAATTCTTTTTCAACCACAACGCAGGAAGTCGTTGAAAAAATATATTTATAGCTACGATTCCATTTTTTTTTTTTTTTTTTTTTAGATTCAAACATTCGAAATAACGAATTATTCAGCTGAATCGTTGTTTTTGCCGTTATTCACGTAAACAGCAACAAAATAACACTTTCTGATTGGAACACAAAACAAAAGAGGAGCTATCAAATCTATGTAAAAAGTAAAAAAAGGAACTGTCCTGAATAAACAAAAAGAAGCCGCTTGTACACAACGCGAACCGTGAAAAAAAGCACAGTTTCCAATTCAACCGAAAAACCTCGAAAAAAAAAAAAAAAAAAAAAAAAAGTAGCGGCAGCTTTTCAAAAAAAGGGTTTGTAAAGCGAATAAACCCCCCCCCCCCAACGATCCCGATCGATCCCCCCCATTACGCACGCACGATAAAAGGAGAAGGGGGAGTCAGTGTCCATTCATCCGGCAGCCCCTCGCCGCACATATAATAGGGCTTCGACCTTCTCTCCCCTCCCTTTTTTCTTCCAACCCCCTGCCTGACCAACATCAAAGAGGGGCACCGAGGGGGTTGAAAGGGCGAGAGCGTGTACTGCATGCACCGAGCGACCATCGGCTCAGTACCGTCGCGACTCGCGCGCCTCGAGGACGTATTGGATTTTGATTGTCCTCGTTGTGTTTTTTGGGGGGTGCGGATTGTGTATACAGTTGCGCGCGTGCCGGTAATCAACGCGTGTCTCGTACCCACTGCCCAGCGGAGGGGTGAGTTTAAATGTATGGTTGGCGTGTGCCCTTCGTATTTTATGATGTCACAAATGACGTTCGATCGGGTGGGAAAATTCGTTTTTCTTAACTAACGTTTTTCTTCTCCTTGGGCATTCTTTTGCTATGAATGATTAAACGCGCGCAATACTTGACGGTTTTTTTTTTTTTTTTTTTTAACGTTTTTTACGATGATACATGGATCGAAGAGCGCAAATATATTTCAAAAAATCGCCGGTTAGTCTAGCGAACAACGTGGTACGACATTACTTATATTTTCGGAGCAGCATCGTAGTTTGATTCCACCGAGTGTATATCGTGAGTGAGTGTGTGGGTGCCAAACTCGAAAAGTGTTGCGTTAAAGTACGTTGTTGTATACATTGTAATCATCAAGTGTATTGTGTATTACTGTGTACAAAAACACCTACTCTTTCTCTCTCTCATACTGAATATAGTGTTTGTTTTGTTGTCACAAGAGATGTACCATGACAAAGTGAGGAGAATATATATTACACTTTGTAGCACTGTTGTGCGATGGTGATTGATTTGCCGGCGAGTCTCGAGTGAGCGCACGCGACGACCATACGTAAGTACACTTTTTTTTTTTTTTTTGTTTTCTTTTCGCAAAAAGAGAAATGGCATTTTTTCGTGTAAGCCCATAAGGGATGATCTTTTTTTTTTTTGTTATTCCGTTTTTCTCGAGCGCGCGACAGGTACTTAAACGTTTGACATGGGTGTGAACGATGGGGAGGAAAAACAAACCCAGGGATCACGTGCGTGCGTTTGCATCTCGTTTTCTTTTTAGCTGGGAAATGCTTGTAACGAGGAGCCCATTTGTCTCTTTTGTTATCTTGTTTGTTTGGGTGAAAAAAGGTGCGACATTTTTTTACTCTCCGTTTTTGAGGGTAGAAGAAGAAGAAGAAGAAGCGGGTGTTTTGGCTCTGCGAGGGGACAGTTCGATTTTTTTTAGAAAAACTGTAGTGTTCGGAAAAGTGTTGTGAACAAATATTAAAGAGAGTGATCATTTTTTACGTGACGCGAGTAAATTTTTGCTTTCTTTAAATTTTTTTTATTATATAACGCTTTTCAACTGTTCATCCCTTTAAAAGAGAACGACATTTTACAGCGTATTTTATTTCATAGCCAACTCGTCTTCTTTTCGTTTTTACAAATTGAACTGTCCTTTTTACCCTAAACGTTCGTACATCATATGTTTTCATTATATTGTGTTATGTTAAGGTAATTTATACAAATAGTGTTTTTTATTTTTGTTTTTAAACTTTGAAAAATGAGATAAAAATTTATACCATTACGATTACTACAAAGTGGTTAAAGATTTATAAAGATTTGGAGTGTCAGTCTCTAATCACTTCAACTTAAAATTATTACGTTCCAAGTAACTTGAAAACATTTGTTTTCGTTGATAAGTTTAAAAATTATGTTGCATAAATAAGAACTGCAATAAAATAATTAATATACTCTTTACGGAGAAAAGAACTAAAGTAATGTTTACCGTAAAACTACATTAATATTAGGATAATGTACAAATGCAGAAAGTTTTGGAGTGAAACTAGGGTTTAAAAAAAAGAGAGGAAAGTTATAATGAAAAACGGTGTAATTACAGTAATTAATATCATTTAACTTTACCTTTGACGTACTTTTCTTTGTGTTCATTTATCAAAAGCTTTTGATGAAATGGGACAAGTCTACTTTAAAAATAATTTGCTGTATCTGTGTACAATATATAAACTTGTTTTCTTTTGTCATTTTAAATATATCAAGTGCACGAGTGTTTATAATGTTCAAAGCAGATACAAAAATTTCTTTTTAACTTTAGCTCCAGAAACAATTTTGTTTTTAGTCAGGAAAAAATATGGCAAAAGATGATCATTTTTACACTTAATTACATTTTATTTTTGATAAGAAAAAAAAAAAAAATACCAGTTTTCAATGATCAATGTTTTTAAATTTATTATCACGTCCTGCTACTTTGTTTTTGTTATTATTCAAAAGCTGAACTGACGGTAATATTGAAAGTAATCAAATGAGTCCATTTTTGACAAATCTATTGAAAATTTATGATAAATGTTTGATCAATTTAACGGTAAAAAAAAAAAAAGTTAAATTCGATATTTATACATAAACTTACCATCCCCTTGTACCCACGGATGAGGACGGTACACCTGTGCACGATAAAATTCTCGCACTCACAGAGAAACCCACCCCCCAATTGTCACCTGATTTGATTTACTTTACACCCAAGTAAACAATACAGGATAATTTTTGTTCAATAGGAGAGAAAAGAACGAGGAGAATCTTGATATGCGCCCCGCAATTTGCATGTAAATACACACGAGAGGAGAAAGCGCGACATTTAAATATGTATGGTACTCGGTCTGTGTATAGTACATAGTTATAGTAATTGACTCAATGAACGAGCGAATATACATATGTATGATTCAAACGTACAGTAAATGTACGTGTAATATGCAGAAATTGCATGTGTATGAATGGCTATTAATACAAGGAAGAAATTTTTTCATCCCCCTATTTATTCCACGCTGTCCATGGATGTATCAAAAAGATTCGCTTATTTATTTTTAAAGTTGGCCGTATCGTATTGAAACAACAATTCATACGCATCTTGTAAGGAGAATCCTGTTTTGACTCTGTAGCTACTTGTTTTTCCTCTTGAAACTAATTTACTGCCAATTGAGCAAAAAAAAAAAAAAAAAAAAAAAAAAAGAAACACTTTAGTGTTCGTTTTATGATTGGATGATATTTTTAAATTGTCTAACCTGGACTTGAGTAAGAGTCCATCATAAAAAATTGTTTTTAATATTCTTTTGAAAAGCTTTTGTGTCAAGGCTGCATTTACACTTTATTTTTCTCCACAGCGCTAATCTATACAAAACATCTCCGTAATCCTGTACCAGTCGTACCCTGCAACTCCCACAAAACAAACCAACTGGAACCTTTTTATTTTCCCTTAACATAAAAAAATCTGCCCAATTTGCATCAGAGATGATTACGACTTTTTTCTTTTTTTTCACTGCTCAATCCCACGATATCCTATACGTTGTTAATTTCGCACGAGCCGGAAGTGAGAGATGATGATAAAAGCTTTAAGCAACGAAAACAAAGAACAAGAGAGAAAGGGGCGAACGCTCGCGTCAAAGCAGGTGCACGGAAAAAGAAATACCTCTACGTATACGTATATATATTTGTATATGCGTGTGCGTGACAATTAATCTGATTTTTTTGTAATCCTTTGCTCGTGAAATACACAGCATGTATACCCAACAAAAAATGTTTGTCTCTCTCTACCCTTGTAATCCCAACCAATGAGTACACACGAGTAAACACGATCGCCAACTTTTGAGAAAAAAATATCCCCCCGAAACCCCAAAAATTCGACACATCGATCATCAACACTGTCCTGACGTGTAAGAGCCGAAAACGCCACTTTGCACTAATTGAACAGCCCATCCCGCGCGTAAATAATAATAATCCCGTGGTTCGGCTGTCCATGTACACACAAGGACGAACAGATAAGTAGTTCCAGAGTCGAAGTCACTTTACTTTGATTCTTCGATCCGTAAAGGTATAATATGCGGCGTAAATATTTGCACTCTTGGGACGCGAGGGGAGAAAAAGACACTTGATGGCCCGCGTGAAAGGTACGCTTTTCGAGCTATCGCGATTTGATGGATCGAGTGCGATAAAGATGGATTAGGGTAACACGTGTCCGGAGAAACTATTAAGAGAATGCGGTGAGTTTAATGATCGCCGGTCATCTGTGTCTTTTAGCACAGAGTTTGGGAGTCGACTGTTTAGACGCAGAGACTTTTATTTAAGTAGATTTGTTGAACCAGCACTCAACGACTGATTACAATAATTAAACGTCTTGAATTTTTGTGTTTTAGTTACAATAACTTGAAGGATAACCCGTACAAATTGGAGAGTCATTGTGCTGTATGGATGTAACATAAAAAACGTTACCTATTTCAGTCCCATCTCTATAAATATGATACAACAAGAGTTTTCATTGTCTAAGCTGTATAGGTATACATCGAGGGTGACAATCTCCGTACCCGCCGCGAGTGCTGTAAGCTATTTTTCTACACTTAGTCTGCAACAATTATAATTTAACAATTGATTGTTGTTGTATACGAGTTTGGACTTGGAGTCATCCAAGTCGAAGTGAAGTGTCACTCGTGCAAAAACCACCTACTTCGCTTTGCGTGCCAATCTTTTGACTTTGAAGGCCTTTTCGATGTGTCAAATGATATACTTAGTACGGTAAAAGACTATTTCACGCACGTAGCGCTAAAACGCGTCCTTTTGTCACGAGAAGTAAAACTTGGCGCACCAAGTATTTCAAAAAGTATATTTTCAACAATTAACAATATTTCCTTACTAATGAATTATATATACGTGTAAGGATCCGTTTTAATCGATTGGTCTTATCTACTTGTTATATCAGCGAAGCGGCTTCCCCTATATACGGGAGCGAGTAGGTGAAGGGGGTCTAACGAGCTTAGACGCGTCTACGTATACCTACATAAATATATACTCTCGATTGTTGGTGCACACACGTATAGGTGCAACACGATAACGAGAGAAAGCGTCGTAACACGGATGTGTGTGGGTGAGTATTATATATAGGATGCAATTGTGCGGGCGTCCTAATTACTCTTTCTCTATCTTCATCCCTCCGTCGTCGGGCCTGATTTATGTAACCTTTATGCCTCCAGTCCTGAAATTTGCATCAGTCGAAAGGGCGAATGGAAGCGACGTTGTTCCAATGCCTGTATCTTTTCCTCGCTCCGGTCTTTTTCGACCACTAGGTGTTGTTATTATACATGTCATGCTTAAGTATACGTTTCAATTGCACGCCCCAAGTTGTAATTATTTTCCACCATGTATTACATTACACTTGTTGAAAGTTTGGTCTGTAGATTAAATCAACGACAAAGTGAACGTTTTGTTCTTGCAATTACGGGAATTGTTGTTTTTTGGAAACGGTTGGTTGGTTTATTTGTTAATTTTCCTGGAGTCGCGATCTATTGTCATTTCGTGCAATTAAGGGTTTTTCGGTTCCGTCAGTGTGTATCATATACATGCCATTAGGTTACATTTTGATGAACTTTTATGTAGAATTAGTAGTTTAATGATAACAAAAGCTTTTCTTATTCATTGACAAACATTTTTATTTCGACTTTGCCATGTCACACATGCGGAGATAAAACTAGAAAATTTCTCAACCGATGCTTCACCTTGTTCACTTTAAAATTTACTTTCTATCTTTCGTAGCTGTAGTTTGCCATTTTTTACTTAGTGTAACGTGTGATTAGCAAACAAAAACTGAAAAGCACTTATCGTACAAAAAATTTTTCGCACGAAAGTGTGCATAACGCTTGTGAAAGAAACAATGAGAGCTTCATAGAAACTTGGAGACAGGTGAATTCATTTTCAAAGTTTATTGAATATATCTACAAAAATATTATACTGACAATGTATCAGACAATGGTAAGAGGAAAAATTGAGTTGCGTTAGTATATTCATTAGAGGGATCCGTATCTA